CTTTGCATCAAACCATTTTTCAAAATTTACTAAAAGTGTTCGACGCGGATGACAGATATTAGGTAGGTAAAACCAACATCAAATTTAAGTTTGTCATCATATATGCTAGTTTGGTCTCGTGGCCTTACCGTTCGCCGCCGTTGGTACGTAAGGTCGGTGGTTCAAATCCCAAGCCACTATTTTTTTTTGATATATAAACTTTTTAATTTTAATATCGAAGCACATGTAATTAAATTCTATCGCCGTAGTTATTAGGTACTTTTTGATATTGCCTTGGACTAATGAGTTTGACCGTTAAAGTACTTTTCTATTTCAAACAAAAATGAAGGAGATAAAGCGATGCTATTGGCATGTAATTTGTTTATTACTCATGTTTGTTAAACTTGTACCGGTAAAAATAACACTTTTACTTTTACCTTTTACTGATATTGATTATATTTAAGAAACAAAGAAAAAAAACTGAATGTTACTGACATTCAGTTTTTTTTCTTTGTTTCTTGTTCCAAACTACATCAAATTTTTGGTCGATTGCAATAAACATTCCAGTGTGCGTGGGCGCGCACACATATGTAGATAACACTTGTACGTATAGTTTCCGCGCGTACCATTCTTAAAACCCGCAAAGACAATCCACGCTCCGCCCACTCACTTCAACCACGATGGTCTGACTTAATTGTTGTTAACTTTATTTAAATTTCTTTCTACACGACAGCGAAAATTATAAAAAAAAATTGTCGAGCAAAATTTTACATTACCAAATTTTTACTGGTTATGAAAAAATAACCCCGTGATTGATAAAATGATAAAAAAGTAGCCTGAGGTTCGAACCGGTAAACTTACATATTACGGCAAACATACTAGAATACTGCGCCAATCTAGTATTATATATATTGTGACAAGGCAAAATTTGATATTAGTTAATACGTATCTGTCATATTCGGCGTGACAAACTTTTATATTTAAGCGTTATGACAGGAGAAGAAAAATATTGGGTTGCCCAGTAAGTTCGTGCCGCTTTATAAGGAAAATTGAAACCCTGTTCTCTTAAATTTTTGAAAATGTTTTTTAATTACATTGGTACGACTCTATACCTAAAACGTCTTTTATTTTTGGCTAAAATTTTAAAAATTAGTTTTTATCTCAACCCACGAAATGAAATTATTTACAACATAGAAATTTTTGTGACGTTTGATAATGGTGGAAATCCGAAAATGAATCCACTTCAGCTACAGTCTATTGTAAGCTTTATATCGAAAATCAGAACGAACTTTCCGGACAACCTATAATGTTAATACAAAGTGTCAAATGAATGTAACAGAAGTAGTTTATTCCAAATTGTATCACAAGTACATAGAGATAGAGTTTAATTTTGTCAAATGTACCGATATTTTTGCGCACCTTGACTGCTTCGTTACTTATGACGCTGTGGCTGCTACGATATTTATGAGCATCTTGCATGTACTCATATATTTGACGCTGTGTATGTACCGATGTATTTGAGCAGGGTAAATGTATCTATTATTTTGGGGACTTTTGTTGTACCGATATAATTGAATACTTTTGGTGTACCTATATATTTGCATATCTTGTCTATGACGATCTATATGACGCTGACTGTACATGCTCATGAGACTTTCAATCTTACTACAAGAAGGACTTTCTTTGACCAGGTCTAAAAAGTTCGCATAGTATTTTTTATTATAATGCAACCGCAAAAAAAGTCAACTTAAATTGTAGGGATATTTTGGTCATTGCTCTGATTTATTGAGAAAATATTTATTCATATTTTCTACTTGAACAACGTTTTTATGTGTAGTTTTGACAAAATAACAAGATGATTTTGTCGATCCCAGAGAGATTACAATTCTAACATTTATTATACACACTTAAAAGAAGTACATTTAAGCTCTTAGGTATATTTATATTGTTCTATATTGAACTGACGAAATGTTTTTAACAAGCGATAATTTAGAAATGATATAAGATTCACTTTTATCTATAAAAATGTACAAACAGTACAGTGGGTTTTGACTGAAGCACTTTCGACACATTTTGCCATCACTTACAGTCTCTATGAAAAAATAGAGACAAAAGATACTGCAGTTAAAATCCATTGTAAAACATAGTGATGTTCTGTTTATCGCACTCTCTTCACGTCGTGTTGTATCCATATAGTATTGTCTCTCGGTGTTAGGGTAGCGATAGCCGCCATTCCCCGTAGCCGTGTAGCAAGGACCCTTATATACAGGTTTATAAAGTACAATTGTAGATCGTGAGGCTCAATACTACGACACTGCCCTAACTGGGGCATAAAGTTATATTGCACCAACTGGGGCATAAAGTACATTGCACCAGCTGGGGTAAAAAGATACGTTGCACCCGCTGGGGCATAAATTTTGATAGCAGTAGCTGGGGCATAAAGGTACGCTGCCCCAGTTGGGGCGTAGAGGTACATTAAGTTATAGTTACCCTTGTTACGTTATGATTGGGGCGTTATTGTGGTTGTTGTGTTGTGTTGTTTGCCAGTTTCAATTGGCGATGTTGTCGAGACGCGGAGTTGTGATCGAGGGAGTTGGTGATATGTGATTTATTTTTTAATAACCTAGTTCTTAATGTCAGTACGTAGTTGGTTTAGTACTTTTTTGTATATTTAATTGTAGCATTGTAACTGCGTAGTTTACTTCGGTTATATCTAAACTGCAATACTGTTTCGACTAGTCCGTTTATTAATTGCAAATGACCAGTGTTACATTGGGGAGGGATTGGCTTACGGAAATGCAAATTATTTAGGGGGCGAAATGTTTTGTTATATTATTGTTTTATTCGATGATTCTTCTTATATTTTCGGTTGATAATTTTATGTTTGAGGTATACAATTTATATGGAAATGGTGCTAGAAAGCTTGATATTGCTTTATTTCGGCGTAGTTAATATTGTACATACACAATACGGCCGGTGCACTAAGGTTGCCATTTTTTTCTACTTGATTAATCTTCTTAGCGTATAATTTACAGGGTACTATGGACCCTGCTGGTAATGTTTTTCATATCAGGATGTAAATAAAGGTACTGAAAAGACAGGGATATAGATAGGTCGGGCAAGGATAGATAGGTTTTGTACGAGGCGTTGCCAAAAGTGTCTGATAGAAAACTGAAGGAATGATCCCGCGCCACTCGAATGTTGCTGACTGTACGTGTTATAAGGTACACTCACCGACAGATAAATGTAAGCATACCAAACTTTTTAATCGCTCGATTTAAAAAATTACTTTACTGGTAGTTTTAAAAGTCTTAAAAAATGTTAATGTAGGTTTTTAATACGTTGAACAATCACTTAGTTAGGACTTAGTTCATCAAAAAAGCACGATATCATTAGAGTTTTTTTTAAATTATGTTTTGTATGTTTAAAAGTGTTTACAATATTTTGTCGCTGAGTGTACCTTTATATTAAGCATAGTGAGGTGACTTTATAAGTACATTTCTGTTGTGAATAGTTTACGTACCCGTACTCTAACATTGTTTGCCCGCATTGTACTTTTTTGTTATCGAATTGCTTTACTATTAAGTTACAATAAGTTCTAGTTTTAAGACCTTTTTAATTTTTATATACAAAAAAAATATATATCGAAAACTCTAAATCTTGAAATTAAATTTGGATACAAGATACGAAAAAAAAATTACAAAAAATTTCGAAAAGATATTCAAGAGTATTTTTGTATTATTATAAAGTAGCGTTTATTTTCAAATATCTGATGCGAAGCGAAAGTACAAATGTTTGTGGTTTGTACGTAAATGGCTGAAATGTTACAGTCGATGTCAAAATATAAGTAGCGACGTTAAATGATTGAAAGCCATAAAAATAATTATTAGATTTAAAGATTAATAATATATCAAGCATTGATAATATAAAGATTATAAATACGCTTAAATAAAAATATTTTTGGCTGAATTTCGTGTTTTATTTCTAATTCCAAATTTTTAAATTCACATAACAATATAATTTAATAGGAGTAAGGGTCATACAAAAGACAGTTATCCTAGAAACCGCACGCATCGTGAGAAGGTTCCTGTCTGTAGCCCTCACCACTGGTTGTTTGAGTCATGGGATTCCGCAGCCGGTGGTGCTTTATTTTTAATATAATATATTTTGTATAATTTTTTATTTTATATATGAAATGTAATATATTAATAATAAGATTAATAAATGAATACGGAATTTAATAGAAATATTTTAAAACACTAATTCACACGAAACCTAATATTTATCTATAACAATAAGTATATCTTTACATATATATAATTCTTCTGTGAGTGTGTATGTCACTGAACTTCTCTCAAACGACTGGAGCGATTTTGATGAAATTATTTGTGTGTGTTCAAGGGGATCTGGGAATGGTTTAGATTCACAATTTTGTCCGCTGGACAATGTTTTTTTAATTAATTTTTTAACATTGGATCCGACAGACGGCGCTACCATCGCAGTGTCAAATTTTCAAATTAAAGACGTGTAGACAGGACAACGTCTGTCGGGTCCGCTAGTTTATTATATAATAAATATCGGTACCTATGACGTATCAGGTTAGATGTTCCGTGGGTTTCTGAGACCGATTATTTTTTTAATTTTAATACATCTCTGTTTTGCCAAATATAATTGATTGTTAAAAGACAAGGACGATATGTTTTATATCGAGATATTTATCTCAGAAACCAACGTTACATCTATTCAACTTGAACTATATCTTAATATGGATAACGACTGCAGCGACAATTTTAATAACATATATTGTCATCTCTTACATTCCCTTTAAAATAATAGAGACGACAGTATATGTAAATTTTTACAGCAATCAAAATCCACCATTATCTTTTAACTAAATAGTAATTTCACTAAAGTTTAGTTATAATTTTACAAATACCCTTAAATAATATACTTCAATAAAGCCTCAATAATCAATTGTGTAAAAGATTACTTTCCTTTCCACTGTAAAACTTTAGAATTAAAAAATCTTTACATATTGCATATTATATAAATTACCTCTATATACATTACAGGTCGCTTCTTTTTTTTCTTTTTTTTTATAAATATAAATATGCAACCTAAATAAAACCTAAACTAACAGGTTACCGTTTCCATTATCCAAATACATGTACAGAAACATAGTGTTATTTCTGCCAAAAAGAATACAAGGGTGAGTCTCCTTTGCAGTATTACAATATTGCCAACCCCTTTACTTTGAATTAAAAAGTGGTATTTCTGAAACCATAAACTTTCTATAAAACATACAGCCTCTGTTATTATCTTTGAAAAAAAAAACAGATTTTTAAACGGAGTTTTTGGTTTCAGAAACCCATGGAATAAACGGACAAGAATATCTGACCTGGTAAAAATAAATCAAACTAAATTTTGATACCTCACTAGCGCCCTCTTGTCAATTAAAAAATTGTCATAAGATCCTTTTCATATTGTATGTTATTTTCATTCTTTTATGTTATTTATGACGATCATTTTGATTTTACATATTTTGTAGAACTAAAAGCAATAACAAGACCTCTTACATCAGGCCAGATATTTTTATTTGACTAACAGTGTTCGTATACAAAATGTCGGGTTTTTTTATAACAGTAGGAGGCAAACGAGCAGCGGGAACACCGAGGTGTTCAACGACGTCCATGGACATCAGCAATACCAGAGGAACCGCAGATATGTTGCCGGCCTTTGAGATGGTGATACGCTTCTTGAAGGACTCTAAGTCGTAGCGGTTTGGAAATACCGCCGAGGACAGACCATTCCACAACGCTGCTGTGCGAGGCAGGAAGTTTCGCGCAAACCACACGGTTGTGGATTGCCAGCTGAGAGATGGTGTGAATGGAACCTGGCGGTCTGTCGTGGTGGTCACTAAGATATTCACGATGAACCAATTGTACATGTTTAGTCAGTGGAAACGGTGAGTTAAGTAACGTTAGGGTCAACAAAGAACTTGTCTCTTGCCATCACTGATGAGTTCATATGAGTTGTCATCGATGATGCGGTAGATGTCGCGCCGGTAGTGCTGCAAGTTGTGCAGGAACCGCACAGAGCTCTCCTCGCGGATCTTCGTCACCACTGCCGGTAGGTTCTTGGTGTCCGCTTCTGATGCTAACGAAGAGTAGTAACGATCCTGGAATTATATTAACACTTGTAAGATTAATATTATTAGTTAATAAGAGCAGTGTGAAACTATCTTAATTTGATATATAAAGGCTAGTAATCATGGGATTCATGGGATGAGATGGGAAAAAACTTTACATTCGTCCTTGTGATTTTTTGGAAAAATAGACGGTGACATTTCTGTTGCAAAAATTAGTACATTGTTTGAAATTAATGCAAGCATGCAAGCTAAAATTAATGCTTGCATAGGATTCGAATCTACGACCACAGGTTTGGATGACAGTACAGTTACGTTTTTTTTTTGTTAACGCGGGGAATGCGTTTATACACTTCACCTTCCGTGCTGCGTGCAGCAGGGACGGTTTCGTGTGGGACTCTCGGCCTGGGAACAAGACCGGACTACCCACTAAACCCCGCGGTGTTCTCCTACGCCCAACCGGACCGTAGCATCTACGTTAGTTTATCCAAAGCCCAGTACAATTACGTTATTGGAGATTTGAATATGTCTTGTCAGTGCAAGACGTACATTCACTTAAAAAATGGTTAGTAAATTTACTTATAATTATGATTCAATATTTTTGTTCATAATATGAATAACACTAAAATTTCTAAAAATAGTCTAAAAATGCCGTTATTATGAATTATTTAAGCAAACAAAGGGGCAATGCAAGTGATATCGTAATGTCATCGTCCGGATCAAGGCGAGCGGGCGGACGATAACGTCACTAGCAACTCGCACGTCGATGTACTAGGATTGCATAAACGGTACGGAGCTAAGAGAGTGCGGACGCAGGACACGTGAAGTTTCCCGAATATCCGTGAGTTTACAAGTTTGAAAAACCTGCAGTAAAACATACTGTCATCTCTTTCATTCTCATTGAATAAACTGAGATAACAATATGTTTCTATTTGCTTTGGTAGTGCTTTTTTGTGATGTGACAATATTTCGAAAATCAAAAAAATGTGGGGCCAATTCTTTTAGTCGTGAATTTTTGTTAGTATGTCTACTTCGACTACGAACTAGCGAAATTAATAATCTGTTGGTTACAAGAAGAATGCGTATCTTTTTGTGTATAATATTTCTGTTATCAAATAAAAATGTTACGTTTCTTGTTTTTTATTTTACCTATTAAGTGTCTATCGCTAAGAATGTCAATTAGCGTAGATTTAGTACAACATATTTACGCTAAATGACTACTTAGTTAACCATTAAACGAACCAGTTTGACATTATATTTAACCCTAATTTTCACTACTCTCTTTGAAACAGAGACTAAGGAAGTATAAGAAAATAATTTCTAGGATAGTTCGATAGATTAAAACAATCCGACATACAGCAAGAGAACATGCGCAACTGTACTCGCCTTTCACGGAACTTGCAATATCGAGGTAAACAACATTTCTTTTGAATAAAACATTCATATAAGTAATACTAAAATAGAAATACTTTAAGGAAATATTATTTAAATAAACTGTAAACAGATAAAAATAACTTTAAAAAGTAAATTTAAATCTACTAATATAAAAAAAATTAACGATAGATTAGAATTCTTAAAAACGATTTATAGCGAAATATTTAATTTATTCATTATTATTTTATATTTTTTTTATTTAAAAATGGTTTAAAAGAACAAGATTTAAATTTATAAATATTTATAAATATTTACATATATGAAATAAAAATTTACAACGTTTATGTAATAAAAAGAATACGAAAATAAATTTGATATATTTTATTTGTTCCATTACAAGAAAATTGCATAAATCCTATTATGTATATAATTCCTGTCACTGAGGGCTGCGCTTAGTGAATATTTATATAAGGTACACTCAAGGTATGATTAATTATCCAGTGATAAACGGTAATTCGGTTTCAAGGGTTAGTTATAAAATCTAGTCTAGCCAGTAGAGGTCTAATAGCAAATGAAGTTGTTATCGTCAAGAAGACGATATCTGTCCCGCCTGTAGGAGGGCAAATTGTGCAGGAACTTGCCACTGCTGTCGTTGTGCACGGCTGTGAGCACAGCGGGCAGCGGCGCCGCGCCCGACTCATGGGACAAATCGCTGTAGTACCCGCCCTAATCACACCCGAATACTTATAAGATCCACTTCCCACTAGGCGATTAATCGTGTGACGTATTGTCACAATCATCTGATTAATTACATTAGTGGAAAAAGGATCTAAACACGCGCAAGCTATTCAAAGAACATCGCATTGCAGAATATTCTTTTAATTAAGGACTAATCCACTATACATTTTACGGTGAATCTGAATTTGTGTACGTTATTTTTTTAATACCGTGAATGCAGGAATAAGGAAATCAATAAAACGTTTAATTTATGAAGATCTGCTTACAGAACGAGATATTGACGACATTGTGATACCTTTAAGGGAAATACTTTATAATGAAAATAAAGTTTTATTCAATTCAACGAAAAACCTTGTATAAGTGTTATTTATTTACCATATTTATGCATTCTTTTTGAATAATAAGAGCAAACATAGCTGTCTTAGCGCAATGTTACCAGCCTTAAGTTTTAAAATTCAAGTAAATACTTAAAAAATATTATAATAAATTTATCCTGCTAGAAGGACCAAGAAATTTCACAGAAGTATGAATACCGATAACTGTCCCGTTCATCTTAATATTAGAATATATGTAAGAAAAATGCAAGAATTAAAAGACCTAAACCCTAAACAGACTTCTCATTGCCAACGGGTCAAAGAATTCAGCAATACATTACCTGGTCGGGGCCCATCATGTGCGCTTGTCGGCGCGTG